TGGTGTATACTTAGCTACCATGGTCATCGTCCTCTACCCAACGCACGTTGTTTGTGTCTAGGCCGTGGGGGAAGGAGAACAACTTGAACGTACAAGTAGAAAGCAAGGACGTTCCGTTGTAAAGGGTTTCGATTCACCCTTTACTGCTACCATTGGCATCGCACGTGCAAGATATTCAGTTGGTTGCTACAATTATTCGTTCATGGAGGTATGGTGTCTTGCCCTACCGCTGCAACGCGGTTAACGGGATCCTCCCGCACATATAACATATTTGAGCCTGCGGTCATATTCAGAGCACTAATACTAATAGCCGCCTGCTGACGACCCGTGGACAAAAGGCACTTCAACATTCTGCACATTTCTACGGAGACGATGTAGAAGACTGTACAGCATCAATGACATGCGCAACAGGATGGGGCTGTACATCATCGTATGTCTACATGGTGTGCTCTTTGGAAGTCCATGAATGTTGTATGGCCTTTCATGAAATCCCGTGACCTTCCATGAACTTCCACGAACATCCATGGAATTCCACGCAAGGTCATTGGGAAACTCCATGGACGTTCATGAAAGTTACATGCATGTCCACTTCATTTTTGTCAGAAACCTTTCATGAAATCATTTCATTTCACTATGTGACGTCAAAACCCTCATGAAGACCATTCATGGACATTCATGACATGCATTCCTTCATGAACACTCGTACATATTCACGGAATGTGTCATGGAACATGGTCAATGGACATCAATCCATGATGTGTTTCGTGAGTGCTCATGGAATTCCCATGAAATTTGCCGTGGGATTCCATGGTATTCCACGGAAACCTTTGGAAAGCCATGGAACTCCGTGGAATTCCTGGAGACTGTTTCATGAACATTATTGATGAACATTCAATTATGTCCGCGAAACACCTATAAAATGCTTGTTAGCGCTGCGCCGGGGGGAGGACTTTGGTTTGTCGAGCACACGCAAGGCTCAACTATCCGGCAATTTGGCTTCATGGGAAAATTGATCGGACGCCAGTGAAATAGTATATAGTGAGCCACGGAGCGCGTCCTTCCCTCCCAGGAGGGACAAGAGCAGGTCCTATATCGCACCTTTCGGACCAGAACGAAATACACACTCTTGGTCACACGCGCTTGGTTGTTCTTCGGCGAGAGATAGCAGTAGCGCATGATCTGTGGGGGTGACTATCCCCACGCAATGTGGCCGCGTGCACCAAGAACCGCAAAATGGCAGTGCCTCGGAGCTAAACCCACAACTCCATCCGCAATTTTCTAGATGACGTACACCAATCAACACACGCAACCATCTAATGAAATTCTACGGCTGAGTCCAGCGACACCTCGCATACCCTTGAGCTGATACATCCGCCCCTTCGGCATCGTTTCCAATGCACTCCGCTTTGATACTTGAACTACAAGTCCAACATCCCACCCAAAAGGTCTGGGGTTCTGGAACACTTTCCTCCCTCCACGTTTTTCATCGACAACTAGCGTGCTCGATACGTTTTTGAGTTATTTGATTCCTCGCGTACTACCCGCTCCACTTCCTTCAAACCCTACAAAAATGTCCTTACATCATATCCTCGCCGTGGTTGTCGGAAAGATTCCCGTCCTATGCGTTCGGTGTAATGTCAGACGAGGCGGAAGCGGCCCATTCTTTTGAATCCGTGTCAATCTTAGGTCGTGTGGCCGGAGATTTCATCGAACCTTTTTTCCAATGTGCTTTCACTATCTCACACTGAGTGATAGTTTTGACCATGCGGTAGTCGCCGAGGTACTGATTAAGGCCTTCTGCATCACTGGGGACATGACGTCCGTTTGCCTGGCAGACCCATGCGTACTGAATGATGTCAGGACGCCAATCGTCTGGCCGAGTGTCGTATGGGTCCGCGGCCAGCCAATAGACCGCATCATGCATGTGGTACCTGGGATACAGGGCAATTTGTTGAAACGTGTGTGGTATGAGTGAGTGCCTCATGGACGCCTACCATCTCGTAGCCACATTTCACATTGATGTAACTGTTTCGACACTCATCTTTCCCAATGCTTGGGACACCGTTGAGAATGACAACCACTGTTTGTGTATGTACTCGGCAGGATACAGATCTCCGAGATATCCGAGGGGGTACGCATACCAGAACGAAATACACACTCTTGGTCACACGCGCTTGGTTGTTCTTCGGCGAGATATAGCAGTAGCGCATGATCTGTGGGGGTGATTATCCCCCACGCAATGTGGCCGCGTGCACTAAGAACCGAAGTGCCTCGGAGCTAAGCCCACAACTCCATCCGTATTTTTCTAGATGACATCCACCAATCAACACACGCAACCATCTAATGAAGTTCTACGGTTGAGTCCAGCGACACCTCGCATACCCTTGAGCTGATACATGCGTCCGTTCGGCATCGTTTCCAATGCACTCCGCTTTGATACTTGAACGACAAATCCAACATCCCACCCAAACGGTCTGGGGTTCTGGAACACTTTCCTCCCCCCACGTTTTTCTTCGACAACTAGCGTGCTCGATACGTCTGTGAGTTATTTGACTCCTCGCGTACTACCCGCTCCACTTCCTTCAAACCCTACGAACATGTCCTTACATCATTTCCTCCCCGTGGTTGTCGGAACGATTCCCGTCCTATGCGTTCGGTGTAATGTCAGACGAGGCGGAAGCGGTCCATTCTTTTGAATCCGTGTCAATCTTAGTTCGTGTGGCCGGAGATTTCATCGAACTCTTTTTCCAATGTGCTTTCACTATCTCACACTGAGTGAGAGTTTTGACCATGCGGTAGTCGCCGAGGTACTGATCAAGGCCTTCTGCATCACTGGGGACATGACGTCCGTTTGCCTGGCAGACCCATGCGTACTGAATTAACAACCACTCCACACCACGCAAACGAGGTAAAACGCTACAAACGTTGATTGTGCGCGCAAAAGGTCCCACACGGTAAGGCGAAAAACCTAACCGTGGGTTTGTGGCGAGGAAATAGCAGTTCATGAACACCGTTGAAGTGTTATACAGGTGCAGTTACAGCAGTTCATGCACATAAAAATGTCGACTCTTCTTTGGGCTATTTGACCCCCAGGGGGGCATACGACGCGTATATCTCTCCTACTTTCGTCTCGCGGGTCACATTCATTTCTCTTTTTCTGTAGTCCTTGTACATGTTTTTCAGTTGCTCCTATCGACAAAATATACAAACAAAAAACGCGAACGTATTGAGTATTGCCGCACCGAATGGAGGATCGATTGGTGGTGCGCTTCTTGGTTGTGTGAGACGAACACGAACTGTGCATAACCCAAGAAATTGAACGGTCGAGAGGTCCCGAAGATTGTAAATGATTGCGATAGCATCGACCGTACACGCGCAGAAATCGTCGGCCGTTCTCGCAAACCTACTGGACCTGTATCACCTCATGCACTCCCCCTCCCGCTTGGGGCGGTAGGGCCGACACTTCACCCTAAAGCCGTTCATTCAAAAGTTGGATGCCGTACTGTAATATCTTGAAATACTTTGTGACATGGGCTTGAAACGCGCGGTAGGAGAAAGAAGCAAGAGGATCACACCAAATCCATGGTTCACGATAAACCACTAGAGGTGCACACGTCGCTTATTCCTGATCGACATGCCATGCCATGGATGCTGCCTTGTGCCAACACATCACGTTATCCACTGGTGTGATGTGCTTGTTTCAAGGATGAAGCAGGCATCGGCAACATATATAGCCCTGCTGGTATATGGCGAATCATTCTTCAAACGCTTGGCTGTTCATGAGTGAACGATACTGTGATCTTGACGTCGAACACGATGAGGTCGACACGTTCTCGTCAACCAAGACGTTGATTTTACCCGTGGTGGGCAGTTCTCGAACTAAACAGCGCTTTGAGGGATTCGACTGACCACAGATATGCCCCCATGTAGTTGAAGTCTGAAAACATCAGCCTTCGCTCGTCCATTGTCAACTTTGCCATGTTGTTCGGGTGAAGGCAACTGCCGCGCCTGGTAGACATGAAGTCGACGAAAGCCATGCCGTGATGCTGCTCGATGAACGTTCGAGCAGCTGGGTACCTGGGATGAACGTATCAGGTAAAAATATGTGCAACAAGCGTTACTTCGTTTTGTCGTGGGCGTCATGCGAGTGGATGCTCACCGAAGATGTATCAGCGAAAAGGAAACAACACTGTGCCGTTGTTACTCTCGCCTCTTGTGAAGGTATTGGGAACAGTCGTTCATCAACAACTGCAGATCGTCTCGGACACCGGGAGATTGCACGAGGTCTATCGTCGACGCTTAGCTCGTGTTTGGAGAGAGAAACCCTTATACTACGTGGATAGAACGGGGTTGGCCAGCGGTCATTCTGACGTCGTGTGAAGTGCAGGATGTCTACCAAACATTTTTCTAAGGAGAGTACCTTGAGCACGCGTACTCTTAGGTTTCGGTGAAGTCCAAACCAACGGATAGAAGCAAAATTCAGTGGTACCGAACTGTTAAAGAGTGGTGTTGCTTCGTCCTTGAAACCATGCTGTAGGATACTTGTTGTGGGGAGGTGGTTGACCTTGTGTAACCTTGCCAAAGTAGAATCAAATAGTATATCATCAACGGAGTTGTTTGGGGCGGTGACCTGACCTGGGGCGCGTCACATGTTGACGAAAAGAATGCGACTAGGTGTTCGTCCGTGTCAGAACACTTCACACTTCGACGTCTGGGCAGACGTCGTCCATTCCCGCTCGAGACCTCACAAATCGCCATGGTACATGTTACCACCCTGTTGTCTACGTCACGGTGGTTTCTCAGCGACTTTGTTGTACCGTGGTTCTTACATCGATCGGGGGTACACGTGGGTGTTGAAGATACTAAACTCGTGCACGACGTCCTCTCCAATCGCAAACGACGTCCCGTTCTGCCAGCACATGATCGTCGTCAGCCCTGTTGACGGAGAGGAAACAACCTCAACGTTAGAACCACCAGCACCCGTTTTTTGGACCTTCGTGTCTACCCTTTGGGACAAACGTGTTGTGAAAACGACTACTATGTGCTGTAGAAAAAGGTACACTGCAGCCACACCTCGCAATTCCTCATGCAATACCCACCCGTATTTTGGACGCCGTGGGCTGGTTGGGACGTACCTGGACATGTACGCGTCCATGTTTCTACAGATGTGGCGCATTCCACCGACTGGTAGCGTCCCACTAATCTATTTAACCGAAAACATTGCACGCGATTCACGAACGAGTCGAAATGTGTCAAAGAACGCGCTCACAAACCACCGGAAGCAACGCAAAGTAATGCCGCGACATCTCCTCAACGCAAAGTAAGACCGACGTACAAATGACCGTGCGCGAGACGATCCAGCGTGAGGTCCAAGCAAGTATGGTTAAGCGTTTGTCCTCGGGCAGGACGGACGGTGACGCTAAAACACAAGCGCACGGGGAGTTGGACCCTCTTCGCCGCTACTCCTTGCCACGTGACGAACCTGACACCAATACGTGGAAGCGAGAGCATGGTTCCGTGGTCGTCTAAGGTTTGACCCTGTAGAACATGTATGTGACACAACGACCTTCGTACGATTAGTCAAATGGTGCTGTGTGTAGGCACTTGCTGTACAACTGCTGTACAGGACTGGTGCTGCTTCGACCATATGCACTCGTATGTCCTGACCGCAACTGCTGCTGACAAGACCTCCTCCGGTGTATATCTCCTGGACTGTGGGTCTCCCCGACGCGTTATGAAGTGAGGGCGCTACTGGCATCATGGCATGGCGTCTAGACATGGTGGGCACGGTACCCATATATCCGCCAAAGACTCAACCCAGTCACACAACAACAAACTCATATCCGCCAAGACTCCACCCAGATCACAACAACAGCACAAAAACGTCATATTCTTCATTGATGTTATACGTGCTGTATTCTACTTTGAAGTTAATGGCGGCCGGCGGTCGACGACGTTTTGTGAGTAATAAATTAACATGATCCCCAAAGGGCAACATACGAGACTTGGCAAGACAACTCTCATTGCCTCACCTTCCACTCCTGTTTCGTTTCTGTATCGGCGGAAGGGTAGAACAGGTTTGCGGAGATGAAATATGTGCCGATAAGTCAGATCCTCGAACATGACCACGTCCGAGTCCATGTGCAAGATGTAGTCTCCTTTCGTGTACAAGTCGGCCCTCAGCTGTGGGGTATCAAGCAACGGGATTTCCATAAGGTCAGCAAATTCAACCGAGTGCGTAAGGCTCCAACTTATCTTCGCGTCGATTGTTCATATCGTACCGTTATGCTACTCCTCCTCGCCGGAAATATGTCCGTCTCAAGCTCTGGCACAACACGATTCCAACGTCACGTGGAGTGATACATATTGTTCTCTGAGAGACGTGCCGCCAGTGATTGGGGTAGGGCTACGATGGAGTTCTCCATTTGTCGGCGCACGGCCCTGCAGATAGGCCTTCCTGGTGGTAACGTCGTCGACTCTGAATCATTCTTCAAGCATACATGCACGTTCGCGAGACTGGAAGCTTCAGAATTGTTGTGATCAGCACTGTCCCGAAAAAATGACTCCAGGATAAATAGAAGCATAACAATTGTTTTCATGTGGATAGGTCCCCAGTTGCTCATACCCCTAAGGCAAACCTCATACGTAAACACGAGGCACGACAAACATTACTCTACGTCATTATCCGCAACCCTTCTGCGTAGATATGTTGTTATTATTGTCTTCACATTAATCATTGTTCCGTTCTCGCTGCCCGGTACCTCCTCTGTAAGTACTAGTCCAACACTTGACGCGGTCGATTCCCATGGTGACAGGCAGATTTACCCCTAAACGAACACCGAACCAAAATGGACCCAAAAGCTCCGCAAGAAAAAAAATGTAACTTCAGAAAGTCTAGGACACTCCGCTCGCCTCTACACGCTATGCGAGGTACCCACAGACTATAAATTGTAGACATAGAAAACAAGAGAGCAGATGGGGAAAAGGGAAAAATAGAGAGAAATAACACAGAGAAAGACACATCCAGAACCAAGACTGTAGCGACAAAGAATTCAATCAAACAGAACAACATTACAAAACACAAAACAAGTTAACGCAAGGCGGGGCACCCGAGACAGCAAATAAACGCACGTCATCGTCCGTGGATGGTTGGTGCAACGGTGCAGGATGCAGTAGATATGTATGGTAGTACAGGGAGTATCACCTTTGAGTATTTTTGCTGAATGTTGCCGTCCATTAGCTGTGGCTCCGCGACAACGCGAATGGGAAATGGTGCTGTGGCCCGGAGAGGCTTGACAATACCCTCGAAGAGCGCCACGTCAGCTTCCACTACGACGGCCACCACTTCCAAAGCGCTTGGAAAGCGCTCAATGACCGTAGCGATTGACATGTTGAACAGTCTCGCATCTCCAGAGAACGTCCGGTACATCACAGAGATGTTGCAGCCCGCCAGTTTCCGTACAGGCACGTTTGCTCCCTCTGCCCCGAATTCCCAGTCAACCTTGACTTCCAAGTCTGAGGCCTTAACCGATTTAAACCCGAGCTCACACTTTGCCCCCCACTTGAACGCCTCGAGCTCATTGGCGATAAAGTCGTCCATGCGATACCCCATCAGGCTTAGAGCCGTATCGAAGGAGCAGCCAAAACGAGGCTTCACCATGGGAATGTCCCAGATGGAAGGAACCGAAAAAAGGTTCTCCCGACTCCACGCACGAATATTGACGAAATGCACCTCCCCTGGCATTTGGAGGTACGCCAAGGCCGCGAGCACCTGCCACGAGGTGGACCACCGAATGCAGCGGAATTTGAGTGACCAACTGTCATGGCTTATCATCACTCCACCGTGCGCCCCAGAGGTTTGATTGCGACCGTATCATGACGAACGAACACGATGAAGGTGGAAAAATGCCGACACAACCGACATATGGGTTATATGTGAAACACACCCACGGCCAACCTTAGTTGGAAAGCGCTGCAAGGCATGAAGGGCTGCATCGTAGAAAATACGGTGATTTATCGACAGGTGTACGGAGAACAACGAGCAAGGCACAGCCCGTTCGTTTCAAACAGGTTCCATTCGTGTTTCGCGTCGTTGCGTGCCAGGGCTTCTTGTATAGCTTTCGCTTTGCGGATATTCAGGGAGAGAGATACCAGCGTTGACCATTGTGCTGGTACGAAGTGCAGTACACATATTCCAGGTGCGCGTTCGAACCATTGATACCATTGCTGCACAAAATATTCAAATCGCCACCATCGCGTCTACAGAATGCTTTTCACCACGTCGTCCATGCCAGCCGTACCTCCGGGACGTAAATCGATGTTGATTCTCTGTGAAGGTCGGCCACCGACGCTAGGTAAGCGTAGAGGTCCTCCACGTCAAGTTCAGCGCCGTGGAGACCAGCTTCTAGTCTCCTCCCTTGGCGTGTTTTCGTGCCCAACAACGCGCGAAGTTGTCCGTTTGTTTCAGCGGGAAGAATTAGGTCACTTCCGTGGGTAAATGTCGGCGCAGGGAACCCTAAAAGAACGGTGCTGCCCATCGCGCGTCGTACATTCTCTGGGTGAACGTCGCGTGCGTCGGCGAAAGACACGATCAACTCTTGCCGAGCGGTATGTGTGCCCTTGAGTGTGAAGGTGCGGCTGAGGACCTGCCCGACTTCCATGTAATAGATCAACCTTGTTCCGTTGCCACAAAGCTGGTCTGCCATTAGAGAGCCATACTCTACGCTCGACGAATTTCCAATCGATACGTGTTGCAGATGGCCGAACTCCTGTGGGTCCAACACAGGTGTATATCGTGACGAAGGGACAACGGTGCAACACGTGAGTATTGGCCAAGGGACACAATACATTCGCGGCCACACTACATGAACAAAGATATTCAGGTCGTGATGGCACCGATCTATGTAGGGTGTAATCGTGTGATAAAGTATTTTGACACCATACGCCGGGACAAGCAAACATTGGGAAGAACAACATTTCTCCAATCGAGCTCAACAACGATTTTTGACCAACACCGCCGTTGGAGATTCCGCAGCAGTAGCGTTGCGGCGAATGCATTCAACTCGTTCGGCTCGAAAAAGGCTTCAGAGCCATAGACGCTGGTTTCCATTGAGAATACTCTCTTGATCCCCGGAGGGGGGGCTGGGGGGGTGTCCTCATAGTCGTGCATGCCGTAGTTGTTAGACTATTGACCTCCCATCCCTACAAAGCCGGGACGGAGAACGCCGGGTTGTCACTGGACCAGGCTCTCACATCGCCAACCGCGAAGCGCCGTGACGTATTTGGCAAGTCACATAAAGGGCGCGCTGCATCCTGCTAGAGACAGTTGAAAGCACTGTGTAACTACGTCGAGGATGCGTGAACATTTTAACACAACGTGTTGCGATCCTCCCTCTTGCGCGGAGTGAGGGTTCTCCACCCCGCACAACATGATCTACTCGACCACCTATATGATTACCGCCAAAAAAAACAGTGGTCAGTAACAAAAACACGGTAACCTGATTGCCGAGTTCACGAAGTGAAATGGTTTGTTTTACAACGTCGTCGCCAAGCGACGAAGTTCAACCCCGATGGGCGGGGGGGGGGTTCATCCCTGGGGGGAATATTCTGCATGAAAGCCCGAACCAAAGAGGGGAATGAACCAACAACCGATTGTTTGGGAAACTCGTTCGGCGGTCCGATTCGGCTTGGGGCTAGGGTTAGCCTCATGGAAAGGGCGAAGGACTCTGACCTGTTGAACACATGGAAGTCTCTTGGATGCGTTACAATCGCCACGCGCATCGCCGGCATGAAATCCAGAACGCTGCGCACTGAGATTATCGTCTCAGACAAGAATTCGAAGTAGCCACGCATGAACGCGCACATTTGACCACCCATGCTGCTGGAGAGAACCGTGGGGACAGGATCGCTAATAGTACCGTTCGTCTGCCAACCGATTGGATCGTCATTCTCCGGGATGGAGGAAGCAAGTCTGCCACCCCCAGAATTGTTTCTCCTTGCCTCCGCTTCAGACCCAATAGAACGTGGGGGCTCAAGGGTGTTGCATAGGATCACCCGTCCACCCTGAGCTTTTACGGCTTCATCAGCAAGATAAGCCGCTGAATCATCGTGGAAGCACAGACGACACGTCTTTCCAAGACCTCTCCAGTTGCAGTGAAGATCGCCGTAGAGCCCACTTCCACAACGATAGTCACACACCTGTAGAGGCGCATGTGACACGAATATGGCAACGGGTATTCGTGCGAAAGTCGCGGCAGGTAGATTGCACTATTCCCGATACAATCCGTGCGTACTTGCTGTTCCTCAAGAGCAACGTCAAACATCCTCCGTGGTTTCCTGACGACAATACCACCACCGACGCTCTTCACAAACGTTTGCCTGACGCTACAGCAGTCCCTCGCGCCGCTAAGCATGTGGTCATGCGGAGACCGGGCTAGGTTTCCCATTGAAAAAACAACGACAGACGGGATCCGGATGCCGTTGGTCGCACGCGGACTTGTTATAGCGACGCTGTTAATTGGCATGACACAAAATGAAAAATCATGTGTTTGTCCAAGACGGAATAACTGACAATAACTTATTGAGTGAGCTTGCTACCTACACACGTATGCCTCGCCGTAGGCCATTGCGAGTGTGCGCACGACAGAGGGCCACGGAGTGCGCGTCAGCAAGTCGGACGACTGCGGCGCCCGACATCATTTACGCACAGAGGGTATAGCGTCCACCAGGATCGACACTGTACAGCATATATTATGACATGTGAACTCAATGTCTCAAAGTATACGCGCACACCTAGACTTCCTCGAATGAACGCGCGGTGCCCACGAAAATGCCGTACAACTGATATTTCACGAGAGTCATTTGAAAGTCAAAACGTTACGTGAGGTTGTACTACAAGAACAATATAGAAGAACAATGAAGATATTCTAAACATCAAATGCACCCGTCCTTCATGAGTAGCACGAGCGACGACGCAGCTCACCGTGTCGATGGTGTTCTCGCACCCAGCAGAGCAGCTTGGACCTGAGGGTGGGTTCCTCGTGCCGCACATGACGACATGGGCATCCGACGCCAAGGTATCTACGGAGGACAACGCAAGCATGCTTTCTGCGGTCGAGGCCTCCTCACTGTTGGTGTAGCAAAGCCGACAGTTGCTGCCATACTGTGAAGCGTTACCTGCACCACAGTTGTGACCCCCGAAGCGTGGTCCTGTCGATGACCATTTCACAGAGCAGCTTTCGTCGCAGATTGTAGAGATACCTGCCGAGTTCCCGGCGGAGGTTCTTGAACCACAAGCATCAGTGCAGTTGCTGCTGCTGTGACGTGGTCTATGCGCATGCTTCACGGGGAGAGACGCGACACTCCCACCACTGAGCGTATTGCCATGGATGAACAACGTGTCTTGTGAAACCGCTTTTTCCACGTGCTTGTCGTTGATGTCGAAAAATCCAATGTTCGATATCTGCGTTGATACAGACAAGGTCCGCGGAAGATGACCCGCCGGAAAATCTTAGGAGGTGACGTATGTAGTCATGTTCGTTCGATGCTGTTAAGATGTACAGCATATATATCCACTATGCTACTGTAGCATAGTGGATATGTGCTGTACATCTTGACAAAACTACAACCGGGGTTCTTGAACTTTTTGTTGCAGCTGTCCTACCTCGGAATGAACCCAAGGGTTGCAATCCCTGTAATCAGCGCTGCCCCATCGGCTCGTCGACTTACAGGCGGGAATATGTGTCTTTACTTGGACGACTGGAATATGTACCGCCTTTCAGGCGTATCCAAGACTTTTTGCCCGGGAAAAATTGCGTCTCAAACGGTCCACGAGGAAGTCGAACCGAGGTTGTATCATGGCTAAGATGTACAGTGTGTCCACCATGTACAAGAGTAATATACCGTGATACATCTTAACAGATACATATCCGCAGCAGGCAAAGGGGGTATGAAGACTTACGGTGAGTGAAAAAATTGTTCATTTACATCATGTATCCGGTACACACTAAAATATTTTCAGTGATGCCAGCTGGTGCTTGCCACCATAACGTCCGTGTGTGTGTAGGTCAAAATAATTCTACGCTACACCCCCTGTAGCTCTTTGCTAGGTAAATCAAAGCACTTGCGGGAATATCGAATCGCAAGTGGGTGCCCAAAGGTTGTTGGTCAATTCTATGAAATGTTTCGTGGAAGGCCATGCATGGGGGTCCGTGAAGGCCGGTGAAACTCCATGGAGGTCCCCGGCGCTCTGCACAATCTTCCGTAGTTTTCAATGGAATATCCTGTGAATGGCAATAGCTTGCCGTAACTTAGATTGTTTTCCGTGGCATTCCGTGGAAGGAAGTCGTCGAAAATTCCTTGGAATTCCCCGCCGTAACCTTAGCTCTTCCACTCGGAAAGATAGTCGCCAGCAATCCTGTCGCAAGATCGTGTTTTCCGGTAGAACATGCTACAGATGAGACAACGAGACACCCGTCGAGAAGTGTAGTACGATCGTGACCAGTTCGGACGGTCTGACGCGGGTTCCGCTGTTCGGCGTCGAGGTGGTCCGAAAACTCTTACGCAACACCCACAGAAACGTACGGTTAGCGCCAGACGATGAAAAAAAGTTATGCTACGTGATAGACGATGTCCTTGTGGCTGACTTCAGACAAACGTTCGGTTGGGCAAGTTCCTCCGGGTTCTGGGGCGTCATGGCCGTGGCAGTAAAACATTCACACCGAAATGCTAACATGAACACGGTGTGAAACTAGTTTGACGAAAGGATGGCCATGATGTCACACGTCTCAAAAGTAAACTCATGGGACCAGGGGGTGTCGACTCAAGTGCCCTCAAAGCTACCGAAAAGTCGCACACAGGTGGTGCTGTAGGATCGACGACGGCTTAATTTGTGGGGTGTACGTGACGAGAACTTAGCCACCAAGTGTCAACCTAACACGTATGGGGTGGGCTTGGGGTCCGGGATTGGGATAGCGTTATGCAGTGCTATTAGCCATGATAAAAGCCTGTTCCAAAACAAAAAATCTGCTGTGTAGGAGTCGGTTCAAGGGCTCTCAGTGCCAGTCCATGGGCATCACATGGGTTGCCCATGGGCCACCCATGGGTGCTTCAGTAAAACTGTAGAAGACGTAGGAGACACCTAGATAACAGCACGCACCGCACGAGGACTGCATCCGCATCACTGACGTCCGACTGTGATCGGTTGTTTGTACGCCGATCCTGAAGGGCATGCACTAGAACACTCCTGTGGATTATCTCGGCCACATTTTTGATCCGCGTGTTTTGTAGGACCGAAGCAATATTATTCATGAGAGCGTACAAATGGCCAAAGGATAGAAGATACGCGACCGAAGTTGTAGAACTCGACTTGCGTCAGGAGGGCCTGGACGTATTTTGTCTGGTGCCTTTTACTATCATCAGGTCTCCACGATATGGCCAGTAGGCCGACGAGAAAGAAGCGGCAAGTACGAATGTATTAGGAGTTCTATGGTGACCTGGATTTGTGGAGATGGGGCCTTTGAGCACAAGCATGGACGAAAGGGGAGAGTCGTAAAGCGCTTCCTTCTTTAACCATGAGCGACGCATATCATCGCGGTGGTACCGATCTGACGCTAGCTTCGAAGCCGTTGGAGTTTACTGCTTGCACTTGGAGGGGTTTTGGGAATATCAATTCACATACGAGTTTACCGGCGAGTCGAAGAGAAAGGACCAAGCCAAGGCAACGAGGGATATCACTATTACCCACTAGAGCTGCTGCATAGTGCAAATGATCATCAAGGACAAACCAACCAAGCCGGGGCAAGCTATACTTATCAGAGGTGATATCGTGCCGGCGGTATCATCGGTGAACAGATGCGGGTGACCAGATGACAGACGGGCACGCTTGCTAACGAGGCTACTGGGTCGAATGGAAGTTGAGAGCGGTTGGCGCCAGGTGGGAAAACTCATCCAGGGCGACAGAACACGCTAGCGGACAGAACCTCGACATGAAAGCCAGACGAGGTCGACAGAAACGTACGGAGGCTAACCAAGGATGGCGCCTGGAAGAACCAAGATATCGGACATCAGCGACAGCAATGGATTGAATAGATTTTGCGAAAGAGACTCCCAAGCAGACGCGTGGATGACCAGCGGTGGGAAACAATGACGAGAGTCTTCACAACGAGGACGCGACAAAAGAGACTTGAAGGAGTATTCACGGAGACGGGGTTTTACGAAGAGAAGGGCCCAAACGCTGCACCCGCTTGCCGACCGATTCATGAGAACAGGAGGGTCAACCGAAGAACATGAGCTTTTCGCCGAGGTCTTGGTCCACGCATCACTGAGCGCGAGCACATTGAAAGGGTACCGTGGCAGGTGGGTCACGTGCGAAAAGCAGAGAGCCAAGGCAAAGGCGGAACCGTGGATACACGAAGATGATGGTGTCGATAGCGCAGTAATAGCTATAAGAACGTTGTTCATGGTGTCAAGGTGCCTTGCGTGCAAAAATCAAAGCTAAACGACATGAAGAAACCTGGCGCGACTAGGTGCGTCCATAAGCGAGATGCAGGCTAGGAGTTGCCCACGTCGCACTTCAGGTAACAGGGTTTTCGCACGATTGAGAGCGAAGTTTCCGATTGAGAGCGAGAACCAAAAAAGTTCGAAATTCGGGTCCAGACGCCTCCCGTCATTTCTCGGGAAGCAGGGGACGGGCTCTTCCAAAAAGCGGCGCAAATTGAATCTCTCTTCAGCAGCTTCGCGTGCATATGCGTGTCACTGCGATCGGCTGCAGCAGCGAGGAGCTACGCACGTTGCTAGATTCCCCCAGATTGGCTATTCCTGCCCGAAACTGTTTCAGGGCGCCGTCGCCTGGCGCGGTAGGCCCTCCCGTAGCTTCTGCTCCGCGGTGTAGCTCCACAACGCGAGACACCCGCAGAATGACCCGGGTATCGGCTTGTAGCTATGGGCACGCCCTTCAATTCAAGCCGCACAGCAAGCTCTACCTCTCAGCAGTAGACAAGCTACATCGTATCGCACGATCTCAGTCTCAATCAGATACTTCGCTCTCAATCATGCGAATATGTTGTTAGGTTGGAAGCTTCGGGGAACGGCCATGAATAGCGTACACGCGAAGTCGGAATCGAAGCAAGTTGCGAGGAAACCATTGACCGTGTCCATGTTCCGTACTACAATAAGCAGGAACAGACAAGGCGCAAGTGAGCGGATTAAACTTGGATACGTGGATGGGCATTGCTCCTGCAGACATTCCTCTACGTCGTACAGCAGAGCTTCGGGCCTTTGATAACGGTCAATCTAGTCATTTACAGTAGTCGATTCGGATTTTTGTCTCACTAGGCCAAGTTTCGAGATTTTCGGGGGAGTGCAAAAGATGGCGTGGAACGACAGAAGGCAAGCGGGCAAGGTCCAAGAGACGTGCACAACGTCCAAATGGATTCTCAAGCGGTAAGAACTAGTGTAGTCGTGAGGATATATAAAATGCGAGGGACCAAGCAGGAAGAAAACATCGAGTGGAAGAGGTGAGACGCGCGAACGTATGTTGGACGTGCTACTGCAGATGATGTGCAGCCTGAGCTTAAATGTAGCCCTCATGCATTGAGTATAGCGAGGGAAATGGGCGGTTGATCATGGTCAGCAGCAACAGAAATGCTGAGACATATGGCGGGAAAAGGTGAAAGAGATCCTCGAGAGTTCCCGTCGCCTTCTCGTACAATTGGCGGTGCCCCGCAACTGCTAAGTAACAAGCGTCTGTGACCCAGCGGCGTTCAGGACCTACGTAAGACAAGGGGGAGGAGAGTGAGCGAAACCTGGTCGCACGCGCCAGCGAATAGTGTAGAGGAAAGAATGACGCCGAAATCAGACCGTCCTGTGGGGTACGAATCGCAGGAGGGGTCGGTTTGGCCCAAAAAGCCGCGGAAAATGAGGTCGAGATGAAGTAGACAGATCGAATTATGTAGCGAATGTTGTAATTGTGATGATTTTTTGTTCGGTGTTCGATTCGTGTTGTTTTGTTTGTCCAAGATTTTTTGAGCAAAACACAAACAAGTCAACCTTCGTTCCTTGGGACTGTATTGCACGTCCCAATGAGCGGCCGCGATTGTGACTGAACCATTAATCTGTAGAACACGCATACACACGTTTAGGAATGATAAGGTGCATATTGCAGATGAATTCAAGACACTCGAGGTTGGAAAGCGCCCGAAACGATGCCCCGACATTCTGAGGACGGTGCAGACAGATACATACATGCAGGTTCTCTTGCAGTGCGGCCGTGCGGTGGGCTGCTGATGCTAAGCTGGTGGGGGGAAAAACATTCTGAACGGATCGAATTCCCGGATCACACACTCACAAGATTGGCTACGAGGCTAATGTAGTTCTGCGTGTAGTGTGTTTGGCAACCTCGTGAGGTTTCGCAGGAGACAATCGGATTTCTTGCAGCAACGGGGGACCCGTGTGATTGTTGAGGTACGCCAGATGCCTGAAACAACTCGAGTCCCCCTCCTCCATCCGAGAAGTTCAGACAGAAATGATCACATCTCACCAAGCTACGCTAAGCACCGGAGAATGGGTTGATATAAAAAGCTGAACCTCAGCGGCAACCTAATCTGCCAACAGTCACACTGAAGCAATCAACAGTAAGACACACGCCGTGATCCTCGTTCGTGCTCAACCGCCAAGCTACATTACTTTCAGAGAGGGACACAGCCGTGGTTCCTTGCGGAATTTTATTGCGCTGATGAGGGTATGCGCGGTGTGATCTCTCATCGAACTGTGGTCCCTCTGCATACCTACGCGGCATCAATGCCCAACAAAGTGTGAAAGTTGTCGGGGCTCACTCGAACAACCGCGTACATGTTGGTCGGGGGCAAGCAGCTCCCGGCTGAATGACCAGTTTCAGTGTACAGCTTAACCGAAGCGAGAAAGGATTT